CACACGCACGCACGCACGCAAGCACGCACGCACGCAAGCACGCACGCACGTACGCACACACGCATACGTATATGCATACCACGCGCGCACACACACACACGCGCGCGCACGCACGCACACACACACACACACACACACACACACACACACGCGCGCGCGCGCGCATACGGCCATACATACGTATACACATACCACGCACACACACGCACACGTACAACGCGTATACACACACCCAGACGCACAACACGAACATGCACACGCACCGACACACGCGCGCGCGAACGCACGCACACGCATACGAACACGCACAACACGCACTTACGCGCGCGAACGCACGCACACGAATACGACCACACACAACACGCACACGCATGCACAAACCGTGTAATTACGATTATTAATAATGATAATGATAATAATAATAATAATAATAGTTATTTTTATTATTATTATTATTATGGATTCGATCTTACTTGGTGATAACGTGTCTTTCATTACAGAACATGTACTTGAAACCGTGGAGAGTAACCTCTTGCGAAAACCGGTAGAAATCACCCGCCAGCGCCAGTCCTGGGTTCTTCTCGGCTGCTCTCTCGTCTGTACTGCCGTCGTTTCCCTGCCTAGAATCTGGTGCTGCTTCGTCACCTCTCTCGATTTTCGTGGAGCACGCTAGATTCATGTTACACGCGTAGCTGCTCGCTGCCTTCTGAACACTATTTTCTCGATCAAACTGCACTGATCGAGTCTTACTACCGCGTGACAGCGTCGACGAAATCGCAATCAAATTATCGAACACTAATATATGGTCATAAATATAGAATAGAGATCTCTATTCTATATATGTCATATGATGGAACACGAGTATTCAGTTCAATCGCGCCTGTACCGTTAGCTCCATCAAAACTATCAAGCGATGGCGGCTGACGTTTGCCTCTAACCATACCTGTATAACTATAGCTCATGTTTATCGCGTAGCTAATGCGCCAGTCAGTCTTGCGTGAATGTGGTGCGCGGGGAACGGTACGTTTAGATTCGACACAAAATCTGTATTGAGTTCCTATGTTTACACTATAGGAAAAGCATCTCGCGTTTATGTGCGGAGTAACATTTACACTGTGACTGCAGAGTGACTCGGTTTCTTTGCGCATGCGTCTGTGCGTCATTAGAGCATGCAATATTGTACGTAAATAAATCGAATTTCGTATTATTGTGCTGAAATTTATTAACGAACAAAAATTTCATTAAGAGATTATTATTTTTAAATGCAACTTTACTACAAGGTTTTTTGAAAAAAACAACGTTTTTTTTTCGTTGTTGCACAAAGTGATGTCACATATTAGCATGCATGCGCTACTCCGGTGGCGTTCTTGCAGTACCGTCAAGTAAGTGCGCGCGCTCAAGTAAAATTTGAACCTACAGCCATGTTTGTTTGTTCAGCCGAATCAGTCTCCGCTAAACCGCTACGGAAGTATTCCGCGTCGACAAATATTTGGAAAACGCTCAGGCAAACGGATGCTCAAGCTGCGCGCGCGCACAGAACCTGGCTAGAGTTTAACCCGATATGCAGCGATAATAAGTTATATAACTATAACCACAACTATATATATATCAGGAGTAGATAATAGGGAATTATTACTCTATCTACCTTATTATCCCCTCTATACCCTCTATACCCTATTACCTATTATCTAACTCCTGATATATATATATTATATAATATATATATATATATATATATATATATATATGTGTGTTGTGTGTGTGTGTGTGTGTGTGTGTGTGTGTGTGTGTGTGTGTGTGTGGTGTGTGTGTGTATGTGTGTGTGTGTGTGTGTGTTTGTTGTGTGTGTGTGTGTGTGTGTGTGTGTGGTGTATGTGTGTGTGTGAGAGTGTGTGTGTGTGCGCGCACGCGTTTGAAATAAAATAATAATATAATCAGGGAATCAATGTATAAACACAACGATTTTTAGGTTGATATGGCGGGCAAATATTAGAAGAGAAACATTTAAAGACAAAGAAGCAACGGATACAACAACAGAGCTCGCAGTGTCATTACAATGCTTGTGAGAGCGATTATATATGTGTTTGGTTGATGAAACAGTGTGTGTGAAGAGAAGTTAAACGAACTGGTGAAATTTTCATTTGTTTTGTTTATTTTGTTTTATTTGTTATTACTCGAATGTATACACACGCGCACACACACACACACACACACACACACACACACACACACACACACACACACACACACACACACACACACAATCGTGCCAATCGCGCGTTTGCATGTTTTAAATAAAAGATAGTTTGATAGTATCGATATCAAAAACAAAACTTTGCAATGAAAAAAAGGAATCATACTATACATGGCGATCACGTGATTATCATAAATTTTAAATATGGTGTATCCTAACCTAATTTCAATTAATACACTCGTCAATAGCTTATTTCACGAAATATATTGTGCGCGACATATGTTCCCCATTCACTTTCAAACTCTTTAACTACGTAGGCCTAAAGGCTGATGGAAAATTCCATATATTTGTAATTAGTGCATCACGTGATAATTCGTTGAAATTCCATTGGATAACGTCGCAGGTACTATGAAGCAATAGTGCCCGCCTGAGCGGGCACTATTGTATTGCTTGCGCGACGTATTGTTATTATAACGCATTGTGTTCACGTCACGAATCTCCTGCGTCTGGGCGCCACGCAAGAGTTTCGAATTAATGGCGATTGTGTTTGTGTCGAGCGTTTTGTTACATCGAATGCACCGGCAAATTAGGGAGTATAAAGAAGGTATATAAGCATGAAAATTAAACAGAAACACTAATTGTATTTTCATACATTTTATTTTGTACAAATAACACACAAATATACTACTTGCTGGTGCTAGAAATTTGTGACGTAGACAGTTTATACAAATTGAAAGAAACTTTGTCTTATTCACTTTATATTTGCCAAGTAGATTGCAAAGTCATGTGATGCACTAAAAACATTAATGCCTGTTGTTGGGGGCACTATGCTGTCATAGTGTTGCTTTGGGAAGGAATAGTGCCCTCGCTACCGCTCGGGCACTATAGTCTATACCTTCCCTCAGCAACACTATGAGAGCATAGTGCCCCCAACAACAGGCATTAATATATAATTATTTTAAAATTTAAGAGAAATTAAGTTAAAAATCACAAGTAGACTGGGAAAAGTAATTGATGTTAAGCTCTTGTCGCATATTTCAGAGTAATTGCAGCTAAGCTATTATAGTGAACCCTCTATATAATGAAAGTTGTAAATATCCCTAAGTAGTAGATTTTAACACACAACAAATTTAACACGCAACACACACGCGCGCGTATATATGCATACGCATACACACGCACGCGCAACACACACGTACACACATACAGGAGCACTCACAAAAACACAGACAAATGCCCAAACATACGCACACGTGTACACACACACACACACACACACACACACACACACACACACACACACACATACACAAAACTACACACACACACACACCAACACACTGGTATTTACGAGTAAATTTTAATATTAAAAAGCGGTTATTAAATGTCAATAATAATATTATTAACCACTTTCATACATAATTTTATTTTCTACTGATCCGTGAACTATAACTAGAACAATCTCACACATCGTCCTCAGATGAGGTGTTTTACACACATCGTGATGATTATGCAAAGTTATTAACACCAGGGGACCTTTGTTAGAAACTAAATTGTTCTTAACATTGACCTTTTTCATTTAGAGAAACATCGTAAAGTTTCGAGAATGATAAATCCTACCAAATTTCCTTATAACTTTACGAAACTAAATTCCGTCAACGGTCTACGAAAAATGGTGAAAGGTTAAGACTAAAGTTAAGACCATTTTTTGTTTCTGACAATGGGCCTCGGTGCTTTGCTATCACTTACTACTTACAAGATGACTATATAGTCTTGCCATAAGGTGGGTAATACAATGGACAGTTCCGTTCTTTTTTACATTACCCTCGTAACGTTTCTGGATTGCGTTTCATGAATGCATGTGTGTGAGTTCAGGTTTGTATCGTAAAAGTTGCTGTACAAATAATTACCAGTAATTATAACCACTTCTGAACGTCATATCTATAACTTCCTTGGATCGCTGTTTTTATTTAGAGTGATACTTATACAATTTATATTATAAATAACAAAGTTAATTTTTACTCAACAGTGCAAGTTTGAAACGTACCGCTGACGTTTCGCCTCCTGTCAAGAAGCTTTCTCAAAGCAAACTGATGTTAATCAGTTTTGACCACCAGATGGTGTGGTGGTCAATAGCGTATACACGTGACTAAGCCTGTACCCCCCCCCCTCGTCCCGGTTAATGTTTGGGGTCTTGCGGATCCAGATGGCCTCCTTAATCCAGCGCCTGATTTTGTTAGGCTCGATCGATGATCTTCGAATTCTCCCAATCGATGGTGTGGTTGTCCTTCGCTACATGATCAGTGATCGCGGATTTGGTGATTTCGGTAGCCGACTGTTTTCGTTGGGTCCTTGTGAACGATTTGGGTGCTACGGTGTCTACGTCCTTTTTGTGTTCTTTTAGGCGGGTTTTAAATTTTCGGCCGGTTTCTCCGATGTAACTTCTTTCACACATAGCACACGGTATCTTATAGACGCAGTCCGTAATGTTTTGCATGTCTGTTCTGTACTTAGGATGTACCAAAAGCCGTTTTAGAGTCTCAAACGGTCTCACTGTTGACGCCACACCTGCATTTTTTAGGTGACGCTAAACTACGTCCGTGACCCCTCTGACGTAGGGTAGGACGATCATCGTCTTCGGTTTCTCCGTGGAGGTTTTCTTTTGGGATGATGTTTTTCCCGTGATGTGTGCATCTCCTTGGACACTTTATCGAGTGTCCAATTGGGATAGCCGCATTTTCCTAGCGCATTCCTGAGGTGGCGCGCTTCAACTTCCCGGTCCTCACTCTCCGTTATAATTTTGTCCCTACGATCTAGTAGCGTCCGTACCACTGACAGTTTTTGGGTTGACTGTGTGGTGTGAGTTAAAGTTTAAGTACTGGTCCGTGTGGGACTTTTTTCTATACACCGTCAGTTTTAATGAGCCATCTTCTCGTTTATGGATGAGTGTGTCGAGGAAAGGAATTTTTTGATCGAGTTCTTCCTCGTACGTAAATTTTATGTTGTTGGTACTGTCGATGCTGTTGAGGTGTTCTGTCCATTGTTGGACTGTACCAGACTTGATGATTTCCAAAGTGTCATCTACATAGCGTAGCCACAATTTTGGTTTGAGATCAGCCGGTGCTGTCGCAATGGCTTCCGTTTCAAGCCATTCCATGTAAAGATTGGCAACGATAGGTGAGACCGGGCTACCCATGGCTGCTCCAAACTTCTGGTTGTAAATTTGGTCTCTGAATTTGAAATATGTGGTCATAAGGACAAACGTGAGTAATTCGATGATATCGTCTGTGGTGAGGTTGGTTCGCTTCTTCAACGTTTTGTCTGCCTCCAGTCTCGACTTGATTATGTTAATCGATTCTGGGATCGGAGTGTTGGTAAAGAGTGAGACAACGTCATGGGAAAATGATATCTCGTCTGGTTTCATACGTATAGTTTTTAGTTCCTCTGCTAACTCTGTTGAGTTCTTGATGTGATGTTCGGTGGTGCCTACCAAAGGGGCCAGTAGATCGGCTAAGCTTTTGGACAAATTGTATGCTATGGATCCTGTGTAATCGACTATAGGTCTATACGGATTGCCTTCTTTATGTATTTTTGGTGTACAGTAGATTCTTGGCACATTTTCAGCCGTGGGATATAAGAACTTGTACTGAGCTTCAGTAATTTTGTCTTCTCTTTTCAGACGTTGGAGAATCGCCACTAGTTTGCTTTTATATTTCGTTGTAGGGTCTTTCTTTAATTTTCCATAGGTCTTTACATCACTCAACATAGTATTGACTTGTTTTTCGTAGTCGTCCTTGTCCACCACAACTGTAGCCTTTCCCTTGTCTGCTGGTAGGATCATGATACTGGGTTCCCTTTTCAGCTTAAATATGGCCGATTTCTCTTCTTTGGTGATATTTGGTTTTGGGGGTTTAGCCATGCTCATGGTGTATGCTATTTTCATACGTAAATCGTCTGCTTCTGCTGTCGGCATCGAGTGACAAGCTTTTTCTGTGGCTACTATGAATTCCTCCGTGGGGATTTTATTCGGGGTGATGGCGTAATTTAAACGCCCCAAACATCAACCGGGAGGAGGGGCGGTACAGGCTTAGTCACGTGTGGACTAAGCTATTGACCACCACACCATCTGGTGGTCAAAACTGATTAACATCAGTTTGCTTTGAGAAAGCTTCCTGACAGGAGGCGAAACGTCAGCGGTACGTTTCAAACTTGCACGGTTGAGTAAAAATTTACTTTGTTATTTATATTATTCTACCAACCGAATGAACTTATTTAATGAGTTACAATTTATATTGTTTTGGCGCACGATATTAATGCATCTTTCATATTCCATTATAACGTGAAACCATTCAAAATTATGTAAACGCGTATTAGACTCTTGCAATTATACATTCGTCATATTAAAACTAACTATTCGCTAACTTACATATATCTTATTTGGTTAGTTGATTGTGAAATTTGGGGTATCGCCCAACAGTAATATATAGTCAAGATTTTACTGTAACGCTGTTTATGGTTCTGCATCTCACTGTGTGTATCTGCACCACCCATACAGGCACCCGTGAGCAGAGATAGGTATCATTGACCGGTTGTCAGAAACATCTTAAATAAACCATCGTGAGTCTGAAATGTCATATCTCTTGTGCGCCGCCTCACTTCAAATGTTACGTCATCTTTAGAGTTATGGCGCCGTAGGTAACGGTGTTTCAGTTAACAAGACCCCCAGATGAATGCAGTGAAATATGAATGCATGTTCGTAAAACGCATCATGTCCTCACCAGTTCTATTTTTAGACCTGTATTCCAATAAACCATTGCAAAAGTGCATAGGTCTTGGCACTCCTCCAACACTCATAACGTAGCATTTATGCAATGTAACATCCAACGCTATATAAATACAATATGCCATGCCTTGCAGCCTTGTGCGTGCTGGTAATATCGATGAATGGGTGACAATTTCAAACAGACACTTGCTGTATGATTTCAAACAATATGCACAATTTCAGAATAATTGCAGCTAAGTTATTATAGTGAACCCTCTATATAATGAAAGTTGTAAATATCCATAAGTTGAAGATGTAAATCGTGTTAATCGTAATGTCTGCTTTCTAACACTAGGCATATTACTTCATAATCTAGCATAGCACTGATTAATGATAAAACCTAGGCGGTAGAATAGTATTAGAAATCTAGCAGGAAAACAGGGGTAGGGTTAGAAAACTGAGACACACTACGCATCTAGGTTCTTTTAGATGCGTAGACATTAACGTATGCATTTAAAACATATTTCGTGATGATATACACATTTGCATATTATAGTATTTTATATATGTAGTATAGTATTTGTACAGTTGTCGTTGGTGCTGGCCATGTATACGCGCGCGCGCGCGCGCGTGTGTGTGTGTCAGTGTGTGTGAGTGTGTGTGTGTGTGTGTGTGTGTGTGCAGCTGTAGTGTGTGTCCCGTTGATGATGTGTTATGCTGTGTGGTGATGTGTGTTTGTGTGCTGATGGTTCGTGTGTGCCTGTGGTGTGTACGTGCCTGTGTGTGTGTGTGTGTGATGGGTGTGGGTGTATGTTTGTGTGTGTGTTGTGTGTGTGTGTGTGTGTGTGCCGTTGTGTCGTTGTTTCTGGCTGTGTGTCGTTGGTGAGCTGTGTGTGTGCGTGTGTGTGTGTGGTGTGTGTGCGTGGTTGTGTGTTTTTGTGTGTGTGGTGTGTGTGTGTTGTGATGTAGTGTGTATGTTGGTGTGGTGTAGTTGTGTTCGTGTCGTTTGTTGCGTGTGTGTGTGTGTGTCCCGTGTGTGTGTAGTGTTCCTGTCTGTCCGCGTGATGTGTGTGATGTCGTGTGTGCATTGTGTTTGTGTGTGTGTTGTGCGTGGTTGTGTGTGTGATATGACTGCTGTGTGTGTGCTGTCTGACGCGATCGAAGCGAGCAGAGCATGTAGATGTTATATAAAATTCACTTGAAGCCACGCCCTGTCCCCAACACCCTCGCGCAGCACCCAATATTGACACGATGGGAAGGCATTTCAGTGAGGGCTCCACGAAGATCACTAACTCGACTTCCTATGATTATCCTTCTTGATCTTCCTCATGGTTAATAGAACGAGGCCAAAACATTCAAAAATTTCGTAAATCACTGAGAACGCTTGCTCCAGCAAGTTAAGCCCATCGCTCCAACCCAGGTCACCATGCAATGATACACGATTACCTGACAGTAAACATGTACTAAGAACGCAGGCGCACACGTAGCAGAGATCAGGTAAGCGTAGATAAGATGGTTCTCTATAGTAATAAATGCTATAAGTAGCAGTAAGACAATTATTGAGCAGATTTCTTTCATTGATTATATATTATATAATGATATATGCATTATATTTGATTTCTCACATTTGATATTGCTCTTCAATGCTCACGTCATTTTTATGAGCGTAGGCCAACGATTTTGTCTGGAATGCAATCATTGCTTTTCGATGTAAGATTTTACTACCAGCTAGTCGCAACACTTGTAGGACGATGTTGTAGGAGATTGAGATCAGGTCACTTACTGAAAAATTCTTTATAACTGCTACGCGAAGTTGAGGTTGGCAAACATTGATGAACATTGTTTTCGTAGAAGAATCTTTATCCCAAGGTCATTTTTCCTGAGGCGAGAGAAATTTATAAGTTGATTCTGTGGCCAATACACGCGCACGCACGCATGCACCCACACACGAACACATATGCACGCACACGCGCACGCACACACACACACATACCGCCACACCTCCCATCACACACGTGCCACGTGCGGCGACCCATACATACATACATACCCGCACGCACGCCCACACACGCGCACGCACGTGCACAAGCGGAGTAACAATATTATTTTATTCGGTCATATATTTAGAAGCGGAATCTTATAATTCATCCATCACTGTGTTCTTCGTATATCTCAACGCCCGTTAACGCTACTGAGCAACTAATGTTCATTATTATTATTATTAATTGTATTATTATTATTATTATTATTATTATTATTTCCAAAGTGAATCAAGGCATTAGCCGTGCTTCTGGGTTGACCGTCGTTCCAACCTGGGACATAGGATTCAATCCAGAATTTTCGCGAGGATGTTTGCTGTTCCCAGTAGTGCGATTTTCTGGCACTTCTTGGGCAGTGTGGTGGCCAGAGAGTTCCTTAAGGTTCTTCTCAAAACCATTCTTTATAGAGCCAAGGGCTCCAACCACAACTGGTACAATTCTCGTCTTAGTATTCCACATCTTCCTAATTTCGATCTCCAGATCTTTGTACTTGGTGAGATTGTCTCTTTCCTTCACCATGATGTTAAAGTCATCTGGTACGGCTACGTCAATCAACTGGCATCGTTTTTCTTTCCTGTTGTGTAGCAGTATATCAGGGCGGTTTGCAGGTATCGTGCGATCTGTCTGCACTGCCATATCCCACATTATGGTAGTATCTCCGATGTTGGTAACTGGTCTCGGAGTATGTTCATACCACTTGTCCAGGTACTTGCTCACCAAATTCACTGCAGATGAACCAGTGCAGATAGCTGGCTACCTTGTTATGGCGATTTATGTACTCAGTTGGGGCCAGTACTGTGCATCCGGAGATGATGTGGCTGATAGTCTCCTCTGCTTTGCTGCACATTCTGCACTTGCTGTTGACCTGTTGCTTGAGGATGTTGCGTTGATGGTATCTGGTGTTGAGTGCTTGGTCTTGGGCTGCAATGATCAGGCTTTCTGTCTCCCCCTTGAGCCCGGAACTACTGAGCCAGGCAACGCTTGCAGTCTTGTCGACAAATGGCCTGTCGAGATTCTTGTAGAATCTTCCATGCAAAGGCTTGTTCTTCAATACCTCGATCTTCTCTGCTTCTATATTGGTCTTCAGTCTCTGCTTTGTTGAGTATTGGCTGGTGGGCTGAGGAGACAAGTATTTGGCTTTGATTTCTTTAGCCTCGCGATATCTGATCGCAACCAGTTGATCACCCCGAAGCTGTACACGGGGACTGGGAGTGCCAGGCTATTGATCGCTGTTATCTTGTTTTTGGAGCAGAGCTCAGACTTGAGAACTAGGCGAACTCGGCGATAGTACTCCTTAGCAATGTTCTCCTTCATCTTTGCATGCTGAATACCATCACTTTCGTCTACACCAAGATATTTGTAGGTGTCCTCGTGGTTTATACTTTGTAGGGCTGTCTTGTCATCAAGCTCGATATTTCGACTTTTTACTAGCTTACCACCTTTTAAGATTGCGGTTGCACACTTTTCCAAGCCGAACTCCATTTTGATGTCATCACTGAATGCTTTGACTGTTACCAAGGCCTGCTCCAACTCATATTCGTTCTTGGTGAACAGTTTAAGGTCATCCATGTAGAGCAGGTGGCTGATGGTATTGTGTTTATCGACTGTAAATCCTAGACCCTGTCCATTCAACATGTTGGTAAGCGGTATTAGTGCTAAGCAAAATAGGAGGGGAGAGAGCGAGTCACCCTGGAAGATTCCTCTCTTGATTGAGATATCTTCTGTCCTGAGGCAGCTTTCTTGAGTGAAGAGGAACATTTAAGTCTTCCATTTCTTCATTGTAGCTTCCATGAACTGAATGATGGTTGGTGACAGACGGTAGATTCTCATGGCTGCGAGAATCCAGAAATGTGGGGCACCGTCGAAGGCTTTCTTATAATCAATCCACGCCATTCCTAGGTTCCTCTTGAGCTTTTTTGCTAAGCTCACAATCATGTTACTAATGAGAAGTTAGTCTTTGCATCCTCTAGACGCTCTTCTACAGCCTTTCTGCTCATCTGTGAGGATGTCGCTCTTCTGTAAATGATTGTAGAGGCGGTTGCTGATTGCAGCAGTGAGAATCCTGTAGGTGGTAGGCAGGCAAATGATTGGTCGATAGTTCTTAGATTCTTTTGTATC